TACATGTTTGCAACACCAATTTCTTTTACCCATCTTTATGATTCTTTTTTTGCTCTCGATTCCCTCCCCTTTCTTAGCAATGTTTTAAAAATTGATTTTTTAGTTGAACCGGTTTGTTGACCGGTACCTCGGTTCAATAGGTTCGACTCTCGATTCAACCAAAAATTTTCATACATATGGCGGTGGTGTGCCACATCGAAAATGTTCATTTTGCTTTGGAAATAAGTTGCTTTTTAACAGGCTAAGCGAAATCCAACTATATAAGTTTAAGAAATCGATTCAAGTCGTTTTTCATCGGTTCTATCACACTGGTTCAACTTGGTTTTTGAAGAAACCATCCAGTTTGATCTCGATCTAGAAATTGACATAAAATATGTCATTATTGAACCGCTCTCATCTCCGGTTCCCAGTTCAACTGGTTCGAACATGTTTTTAAAACATTGTTTCTTAGTTCTCTCGTGTTTGCATGTTTTGAATATAAAAGGGGGAGACGATGACGAGTTTCATGGTGAGGATGATGCAGTGCCAAAAATTAATTAATTATTTGTCAAGAATAATAGAGAGATGGAAAGGACATTTGGTAGGGGAAAAGATGGAGAGTGGGTAGTGGGTAGTGGGACCATTAAATTTATTAATAAAATATATAATAAATAATTTAAAAAATAGACAAAGGTAATATAGTTATTTTACGTCTAGAAGAGACGAAAAATCAAAACATATTCAAACCACACTGAATTAAAAATAAAACTTAGCGACCAAACATGCAGACTATCCAAAAATCATAAGGGCCATTTATGTAAAGTCTGCCCTTAACATCCACACAAGGCTACACACATATTCTTTCTTTCTTTCTTTCTCTCTCTCTCTCTCTCTCACACACACATACACACATACGTAGTCTTTCACAAACACACACACACATACACACACTATATATATATATATCCCTCCTTTCTATATCTATGTCTATTTCACTCTCATCTGATACATTAAGGGTGAGAAAAAAAGCTGACGGTACTTAATTGAACTGGTACCATATAGATTTCTTGGTTCGGAACTTGGTTCTACTTATTCTAGATTTTCGGTTCTCGTGGCTATTGGATCTGATACCATTCAGCATGAGTAAAAAGCATAACTAAACCAAAATTTATTGGGTTTGGCTACATGTTAGGATCAAGAATCAACTAATTTAGGTAAGTATAGTGTGAGTTACACTACCTTTGACATCGGTACTTCAAACCTAAAATTTTTCTACTTACTGCATAAATTTTCATCAACTTTGAACACTTATAACTCTCTCATATGACCTTGAATTAGGCTGATTCCTTATTATGTGTTCTTTACTATTAAAATTAATCTCAAAATCAAGAACCTCTATGTTTTGTTGTACTTAAAGTCTATAGCCTCAAACATGTGATATTGTATAAAAAACCGACACTAGAGTATGATACTATGATTGATACCAAAGTACTCTTACAAGTATTGAAACCACACCAATACCATAATACCATACATCACACATAAGTTTTGTACTAGGTTCTTATAAAATACAAATTTTTTATTTTGGTAGTTTCGGCTTTGGTACCGATTAAGTGTGGTTCTAGTATTGAGCTCACCCATATCGATCTCACCGATTAATTTCATCGATATTAATTCATATCCAAACATGTAGGTTACCTTAAACCATTATAGACCATTACATAATTTACTCTTTTGTTTAAAAAGAATTTTTTTTCCTTTAACATCCACATAAATAGGGGTGTAACCGACCCGAGTTAACTCGTGAAATACCTGGGATCGAATAAAAAAATACTCGAAATCGACTCAGTTCAAATCGAGTCGAGCTTGAGCTCGAGCTACTCGAGTACATTATCGAGTCGAGCTCGAGTATAACAATACTCGGTTCATGAGCTTAATTAAGTATTTTTATATTTACATGTTTACCCTATATTTTCTTCATATTTACATAATATACAATCGAGTCGAGTCGAGCTCACGAGCTTCATTGGATTTCTATTGTAATTTAATGTGATTTTATTTTTTCAATAGCTAATCGAGTTGAGTCGAGTCGAGCTCTAAAGACTTGGGTGCTGTTTGTTTTTTAGAAAAAACCTCTTCAAACCTCTTATTGTTGCGCGGCGCAGCACACGCGCAACGCTTTTCATCTCGCAGTTGTTTGTTTTTTAGAAGTCTTCGGAGTCAAAAACCACTGTGCGTGCTCTGTTTGGCGCAACACTTGTACTGCCTCTTCCAACCTCTTCCAACCTCTCCTTCTTCTTCTTTTCTTGCTGTAATTTTGATTATATGTTGTTGAAATTTTATTTCACCTTTTTTTTTTTTCGTTTTTTTGTTTATTCTTGTTGATTTTTTTTCTCGTTTTTTTATATTCAATAATGATAATTTATTAATGAAATATCATTATTTTTTACTAAAATAGTGTAACCGACCCGAGTTAACTCGTGAAATACCTGGGATCGAATAAAAAAATACTCGAAATCGACTCAGTTCAAATCGAGTCGAGCTTGAGCTCGAGCTACTCGAGTACATTATCGAGTCGAGCTCGAGTATAACAATACTCGGTTCATGAGCTTAATTAAGTATTTTTATATTTACATGTTTACCCTATATTTTCTTCATATTTACATAATATACAATCGAGTCGAGTCGAGCTCACGAGCTTCATTGGATTTCTATTGTAATTTAATGTGATTTTATTTTTTCAATAGCTAATCGAGTTGAGTCGAGTCGAGCTCTAAAGACTTGGGTGCTGTTTGTTTTTTAGAAAAAACCTCTTCAAACCTCTTATTGTTGCGCGGCGCAGCACACGCGCAACGCTTTTCATCTCGCAGTTGTTTGTTTTTTAGAAGTCTTCGGAGTCAAAAACCACTGTGCGTGCTCTGTTTGGCGCAACACTTGTACTGCCTCTTCCAACCTCTTCCAACCTCTCCTTCTTCTTCTTTTCTTGCTGTAATTTTGATTATATGTTGTTGAAATTTTATTTCACCTTTTTTTTTTCGTTTTTTTGTTTATTCTTGTTGATTTTTTTTCTCGTTTTTTTATATTCAATAATGATAATTTATTAATGAAATATCATTATTTTTTACTAAAATATTTTTATTTTTTGTTGAAATATCATTATTTTTTACTGAAATATCATTAATTGTTGCCGAAATGTTATACATTATTAAATTTTACGTATTAAAAAATTATTTTCGGTTTATAAAATTAGTTTATTTTAATTTTTTAATATCTGCAGCAGTATGCAGATGTTAAAAAAACAAACACGCTTGTTATTACACTCTGCAGCCGTTTGGTCCACTTCTTCTACTGCAGAGGGTTGCAAAGGTGGTCCGCAGACTTCATGAATTTTTGCTTCAGAAAATCAAACAACACCTTGGTTAATTTATCGAGCTTGAGCTTGAGCTTGAAATTAAGGCTTGAGTCCAGTTCGAGCTCAATTTTTATAGTCGAGTCGAGTTTTGATCTTGGCGGTGTTCGACTCGATTACACCCTTACACACATATACACACACACACACATACACTCTCTCTCTCTCTCTCTATATATATATATATATATATATATATATATATATATATATATATATCACCCCCTACATCACCCCTATTTCCATTGATACTGATTCATATCCAACAACCAACAACCATACCCAAATCCCATAAGAATGAAAGTAAGGGATATGTAGAGTTGTATAGATGGCTTATAACATATGAAAGTGGGATCCAATCCATCCATATTGATTCATATTTTAGTTTTAAGTTCATATAAACATCACCCATATTAAAAAAAAACATGATGAACATTGTTCCTTCAAATCCTTCTTCAACCACTAATTATACAAGCACAATCTTCTTCTTCTTCAACAAAAAGCAGTTGTTCTACTTCTATAAAACTTATGCCTTTCTTATTATTGCTTTTACCACCTTGTGCCACAAAAACTTAAGTATATAAGAGAAGGGAGTAATTGTTCGAGGGGAAGCATATGAAGCATTAGAGGAGGGTGTAAATATATGTAGAACCCAAGATTGTCTCTCCAAAAGAGTCTTCGTTGAGAGAAGGGGATTCCAACCTATAAAGTCACTTATAAGAGCGTGTCACACCGATATGGGATACACTAACACTCCCCGTCAAAATCAGAGCTCAATGAGGATAGACAATAGACAGGGGTGTGCTGAGCCACCTGGATGCGGGACGTCGACTCTGATACCATATAAATATATGTAGAGCCCAAGATTGTCTCTCCAAAAGAGCCATTGTGGAGAGAATGGGGATCCAACATATAGTCACTTATAAGACCGTGTCGTACCGATGTGGGATACACTAACAGGAGAGATGAGGGATTTCAATATATATAGTCACTTATATTACCGTATCATACCGATGTGGATGGAAATTAATGGTGGATCTTATTGAGGAATGAAACTGTGGGTGCAGGTAACGACGAGGTGACCATTGAAGGGCATTATGAAATGTGAATCAAACATATTCTATCGTTTATTCATTTATGACCTACCCATGTTTGTGACAATTATCCAAAAAGTCATTAATAGAAACTACACAAACGACATTTATAAAGTATAACAATAGAAATAAAATAATTTTAGTATCAAGACCCAAATAAAAAAAAATCATTCAAATAAAATTGTTTTTAGAGCAAAACCAATATATATATATATATATATATATATATATATATATATAATATATATATATATATAAAATGCATCTTCAAAGACAATATTGGCCCAAGTCCATATGCAAATTAGAGACGCTTTAAATTATATATAACTTAAAAAGTTGGGCAGCAGTATAGTTTTTTATCTTTGCCACTTGACTTCTCATTCTTACTTTAACACCACCATACTTTTACTACTTTGCCCTTTTATCACTTCCTCTTCACCGCCTTTGACTCCACCGCCTTTCACTTCGCCCCTTTCTTCTTATCTCAATTTGCTCTTAATTTCATCTGGAAAGCTTCCATGTCTCCTGCAATTTCCTGCGCTCCTCTTTCATTCACCACTCCCAATTTCATCTCCTGTCTTTCTCTACTTCTCTCTTTGTTCATCTTCTGTCTTCGATTTTGCCCTTGCCCGAAGACATTAACAATCGTTTCAGTTGTTTGGGATAACACGGTCAACACATGGAAAGTCGTTGATGTTCCCTCATGCCTTCTTACGCTTACACTTCCAATTCATACCGACAGAGTTCATGTATGTTTTTTTTGTGATGATTTCTGCAACGAAGCAACAACACTCTGCTTCATATCTGCACCGCTTACTTCCTCCTCCACTTTCTCTCTTCAATATCGGCGCCAGCGGAAGAACTCGCTTCAAAGCTTTGCCTTTTCGCTTCTCCGCTGCTCTGTGCTTTGCGGACGCACCACCACCGGCAACATCCTGGCCGTTCCCCACCATCTTCTTTCTATCTACTTTGTCTTTCTTTGGAGGCGATGTCGGCGTTCACAGTTGTGTTCTGGCACCGACAACAAACAAACTGTCACCGCCTACTGCTGCTTCTATTCATTTAATCAATTCACGTTTTCATTTGGCAGCAGAGAGCACGAGTGGTTGGAGTCTTTCGATTGCTGGACATTTTTATCTGATGAATGGATTTTTTTTTTCAATTTTGTTGAAATTAGGGTTTATGACAACACAACAATCGAGGATGATGGTTAGCTCCTGAAGAATTTATCGATCTGGGCCTTATTTTCTTTTTTGTTTTCAATTCTGGAATCCACAGTCGATTCACTGCAATCGATCATGGACACCCGCAATATCATTCAGGTCAGTAGAAATCAATCCCTTTTCCAGCCATATAGCTTTTTAAGAGTTGAATATGGGTTGTATGGGATTTGAGTACAAATTACAGGCCATACATGTTTGGATGTGGCCTTGAACTTTTTGGCATTAAGTTCAATTGAGTTTCCTCTGAATTATCTTCTTCTTCCCCAATTTTGACAGATTATTAACTAAAATATTCACTGACTACCAGGATACAGCAATAATAGAACAGGTCCACGATGAGCCTACCATGAAAGACACTCTCTAAAAGGAATCTCGATTTCATCTGAAGGTTAATACTACTATCACATAGGATGCATCTCCAAAACTACCAGGTAAGCATCTTCTCCAAAGATTAATTAATTAATTTGCTTTCATTTTCTGGAATAGTTCTTATGTTTGTTTTGTTAATTATATCATCTTTGAAGTTATGTTGCTAAGCTATGCCCTACATATGTTCGATAAAATGTCCAAGTGAGGCAAAGTACATTGTTTTTGTTCTTCTCAACTGACCCCACTCAACTTAAAATAGAATGTCATGAGTACCTTTTCATTATTGCAAATTACATGATCAGTTTGTGATAATGAAAAGTTCTTTAGTGACTTTTTTATTTTATTTTATTCAGTTTAGAAAAAATATGACTTTTATTAATAATTTATTAATAATAACGGGATTTTCAACAGGGTATTGGAGCTCCAATATTTCTTTTAACTCCTCAAGTTGCTGGTTTGGGACTCACCTTAACAAAAGCAGATCGGGTCATAGTAGATGATCCAGTTTGGAATCCAAGGTTGGCTTTTTTTTTTTATACTTAATTTGTAACAATTCTTTTTTTATTATTATTAAATTATAAATATAAATATTCTGAAACAAAATATTTTTTGTAGTACTGATAATCAAAGTGTATATGTTGTTTAAAATTATAAATAAATTTTTTTATTAAATATAATCAAGATAAACAGTTTTTTTTTATAGCAACTCCTGTGATAGGTGCATGTTTCTCTATAAAATCTTGGATTTAGGTTCAATTTATAGTTGTTCAATCGTGCTTCAATTAGAGTTTTTTTTTTTTTTTTTTTTAATTTATCATATAATCAACAAAAAATAATCAGATATATGCTAAGCATTTTAAACCATTTATACATATGAATGTAAATTTTCTTGCTTTCTGTTCTTTGCAGGTTTCATACATATTTATACAACATGTACCGAGAATATCAACTTTTTTCTGTAACAGTCGGGTGGCTAGCTATTACTTTGCTGAGGCACATAATGCTTTGTTCATTTTATTGAACAAAACTCCAATTTGACTGTTTTTTTTAATGGACGACTCATCCAAACCCTTCTTTTATATGTTGTACTTGTGTGATCATGAAACTCCTGATTGACTATGTTCATCGATGCCTTTTCTACTTGGCTGAAGATGAGGTATAATAAATCGGATAATAAACCGAAGGAGGCATCAGTTTATTTATATTTGGTTTTGTTTTTGTAACATAAAGTTTGCAGTTTGGTCTTCATCTTCCGCGAGGTAAAACCAATCAAATTTTATATTTATCATGCTTAGATTGCTCAATTTTATTTATTTTTGGTTTCTCAGGTATGCATTGTTTCGTGAAGGTTGAGTTAAAGAGAATTAAAAATAATTTGAGTTGTGCTCCCCTATTTTCATCAATATGTTGAAGTTTATTGACGGCTTTGTTGATGTGGACACTGATGCTACCTTTGTTTATCAATCTAACTCTTTAGGTTCATGCTTCTCTAATATGGATTGAATAAGGTGGACACAGTCTATGTTACTCTCTAGAAACCACAGAGCAACCAATCTATTAAAGTGATGGTAAGTAGATAGCTTTATATTTTCCATAATTTCCAACCAAATGCTCATGTCTTCTGATGGGAAAATATCAGAACAGATTGAACAAAGGTTGAAGAGGTCTTGCATTTGCAGGTTATTTATAATTGGTAAACCTCCGTTCCTATTTAAGTTATAATAAATATAATACTTTATGGTTGTTTTTTTTTTATAAAGAATACAAGTTGAAGTTAATCAATTAGTGTTTTGGAAAAGTGAACAAAGATGAAAAACAGAAAACATTATAAGTTACCTTTAATAGAAGTGGAGCAGGGAGTTTGGCTGCTAAGCAATTCCTTATAATGAGAGTAGGACAAATGGAAGTGGAACCAATCCCACAATAAGTAGCTTTTTTGTTTTATTGTTATTTTTGCTGTTTAATAGTTAATTACGAATTACAATATATTTTAACTTACTAATTTAATTAGTTTATATATTTTATTTAAATCATTATCCCCTCCAATTTATCTAATTTTTTTTCTATTTTTTTAAGAAAAAAGATTATGTCTTTTTAAGTAAAATTTTTGACTTCTTTCAAACAATTCAACCATGGAATGGAATCTCAGATTCCTATTCCGTCGGAATTTGAGAACCAAACGCAGTTGTGGAACACAAATGGGATCCTTCCACCAATAAAGAGTAAGATTTTTATTACTTTTAGTTTATCTTAGATGATCGGTTCTAATATTTTGAATATGCATCGTTTTTTCTGTAGATATTGTTTCTTCTGGTCGTGCCTTGCAACAAATGGTAAATCATTTCAAAACTTTTTTACCTTTTTGGTTCTTTTCTAGGGTAAAATACACTAAATAGCAACATACTTTCAATGATTTGTTTGTCATATGAAGACCCCTTCTGTACATGTAATATGTTTTGATTCATTTTATACTATGTTCTACCATTTGCTACAACTTGAAATAAGGAAAAAAACAAACACAGCGCCAACGGCGCACATGATTCCCCTCTAGTTTAAATCAAAATTCAAATTGTATTTGATAGAGAAAAGGTTGTCTAATTTGTCAAGGATATGAATTTCTATTATTGGGCCGACAAGCAAAGGTCGTTTAATTTGTTCATTAAATAGAAAACATTTTTGACTCTTGGTAAAATACATATAACTTGTATTTTTAAAGGGTGTTGATTTTTCCACTGTTTTTTTTTTATCGATCCACATAATTTTAAAGTTAAGTGACAGTTATGCCCCTGATTTATATTAAGATTTAAAATAAGAGATATTTCAGGGAGTGAAACCCAGTGAATTGTTTCCAAACGCACGTTCCTAGTCCTTTCTTCCTCCTTTGACGCTCAATCTTCAGCACAACATAATTAACTACAGGGAATTACCATTATTTCAGTTATTAACAGTTGATGTGTTGCGAACAATGACTTTATCATATTGCAGTATAAAATTTTCATTCGATACATAACTGCATTCAGAGATGTATTAAATCATGTAAACAGTAAATGTATAGAGATTGCATCAATGTAAAATGATATAAATCTAAAATAATCCACCGAATACTAGAGAATAAGATCACCTGACTTACATATACATTCGTTCATTCTGAGGGCATCCACAATGTATTAAACTTGTTAGAGTTTAACATATTGACACATCATCATGTTATTTGCTATACAACTCTATATTAATTTTCCTACATCGCATTGAACTCAATAGAGTTCAATGATATATATATATAATAGTTAAAATGTTTTTTTTTTCTCATTGAAGAGTTCAATGGTCATTAAACTCCATATCCATTGAATACCAACATGGCATCCCATAATGGTAGAGTTTAACCCATTCAATGCCAATTAGGCATTCCACCTCATTCAACTCTCCCATTGAACTATGCATTGTGGATGTTATGAGAGCGAATCATGAAGAAAAAACTAATTATTACAAAATTCACCAACTCAAAGTTTCAATAACAAATATGAATCATTTGGGGCCGTCAAATTCGATTGGACTATAATAACTAAGTCGTATTCATATGAGCTTCAAAATTGTACGTACCACCTGGTATGATAAGAACACGAACCCTGAGCTTCCAAACCACATTGCAATGAAGAATTAGGGCAATAGCTCAATATATGAACAATTATACCCTCATCTTATTTAGTATGTTAAAGACACAAATCTGCAAATGCCAACAAATCTTCTTCTTCCACATCCTTTCCACTCATCACCATAGAGTAGATCCTTCGTCACCATCTCGGCGACCACCATAGAGTAGATCCTCCGTTACTATCTTCGGTGACCACCTCCTCTAAACTATCGCCTCCCCCCTTCCACCACCACTAAACCTCCATTGGCCCCTCTCACTCAAAAGTAGGAACCCACTGTGGGCCACTATCTTCCCTTCTCTTTCTCGATCACCATCTCAGAGGCTCTCACTCACTCACTCACTCACTCACTCACTCACTCACACACCCACTCACTCACTCACTCACCTGCAATCGGCGACGGCTCTCTCCAGAGAACCTGAAACTCCGCAGAAGGAATTTGCAAACGACTCTCTCTCTGGTGAATGATCTATATTAGGCTCCACAGTTAATGTAAAAACATCGTCTTCATGATCAACTCTGACAACCATTTTCTTTCGTTTAACATCTGCAACCAAGGCACCATTAAGATTTGTAATCCGCTGACCTCTGTGAATTATCGATAAATACCTATAAATTAAACTGAAATCAGCAATGGTTATCTAGATGATGCTATCGCCTTTACAATTGAATGTCCTTGTAGATATTATCAGTAGAATGAAAACGAAATCAGCAGTTTTTCTTTCGATGATGCAATTAATTCAAGCTCTTGAAGATGTGTTGACAGATAAACAAGCAGCGCAATGCATCTTGTGCTGTTTGGAGTTTCCAAACGTGGGGTTCCTCTCTTTTAAGTTTTAATTAAATATTTACAAATTATATCGAGGGTATATTTGTCCACACACTTATTTTTCTGTGGATGGATTAAAAGACTCAGTGGATAAATCAGCCTCCATTTTTAAATGAGCATGAGATAGATTTGTAATATATTTTTTATTTGATATTATAAAATATTATTATTCTTTATACACTAGTTTAATTTTATTTAAGGTTCTTACTTATACATATCATACGATAAAAGTTACTAATTGGATTAGATTCATAACAAAATTTAAAATATAAACCAAAAATAAAAAATAAAAAATAACATATTATATCTGGTATAGTATAAAAAGTAGAATAAAAAAAATAAACATTTATGGGATTTTATAACATCTTTTTTTTTTTTTTTTTTTTAATTTGTTGATAACTTAAAACATTAAAAATAATTTGTTTCAAACCTTAAAAAAATATACTTAGTATATATATTAACCACTTTATATACAATTTTTGAAATAATTTCATTGAAAATATAAAATTGGGCCAAGAGGTATGAAAATAAGAGTTCCATAAGTCCATTTATACGCACTGTATAAATATCCCTGAAAAATAAGAGGGTAAGGGTTTAGGAAAATTTCCGGCGACCTGGAACACACAATGGAGGCCACCGATGAACGTAATCACTACACAGCCAAGAGAAAGCGAGACAGCAATGAGGACGTCGATGATTCCCCCGCCGTCGCAAACGGTGGCGTCGACTTTTCCCTTTTAGAAGAAATCGAGAAGTCACAAAACTCCGTTGAAGTTCTCGACGTTAAAACCCTAAAGAAACTCGTCCTCTCCTTCGAACGCCGCCTTCGCGACAACATTGCCGCCCGCCTCAAGTACCCTGACCAACCAGAGAAGTTCGCTGATTCCGAAATCGAGCTTCACGAAGAGATCGAGAAGCTCAAAATCCTTGCTGGAGCTCCGGAACTCTATCCTGACCTAGTTAACCTCAACACGATTCCAGCCATTCTTGATCTTCTAACTCACGATAATACTGATATCGCTATTGACGTTGTTGGTCTTCTCCAAGACCTTACTGATGAAGACGTATTGGACGAAAACGATGAACCTGCTCGGATTCTTGTTGATTGTTTAATCGAGAACAACGTGCTTGAATCGTTGTTACAGAATCTGTTACGATTATCCGAGACGGATCCGGATGAGGTGGCAGCGGTTTACAGTACGCTTTCGACGATTGAGAATTTGATTGAAGTGAAGCCTGCGGTGGCTGAGATGGTATGTGAACGAACTAAGCTGTTGCGGTGGATTATTGGCAAGATAAAGGTTCGAGAGTTTGATAGCAATAAGCAATATGCTTCCGAGATACTGGCGATTTTGCTTCAAAGCAGTGTGGCAAATCAGAAGAGGTTAGGTCAAATGAATGGTGTGGATGTGGTGTTGCAGGCTGTGGCAATTTATAAGTCGAGGGATCCAAAGAGTTTAGATGAAGAGGAGATGGTTGAGAATCTCTTTGATTGCTTGTGTTGTTTGTTGATGCCATTGGAGAACAAGGAGAGGTTTTTGAAAGCTGAAGGGGTTGAATTGATGATTATTATCATGAACCAGAAGAAATTGTGTTATGGATCAGCCATCAGAGCTCTTGATTTTGCAATGACGAATTATCCACCTGCTTGTGAACGGTTTGTTGATGTTATGGGGCTTAAAACCGCTTTCCCTGCTTTCATGGGTAAGGCAAGTTCATCTCCCTCCCTAGTATCATATCACCATTGTTTTGATCTTGTTTCAATGCTTTATCATTCTGCAACTAGCAACCTCCATATTTTGTTATAATTTCTATTGTGTTCTTCATAATCATCTGCAAATAATTATAAGAAAAGATTGCCTTATTACAACGTTTTATCTAATAATCTTTAAGTGCTTAAATTATCTCCTTCCTTCTGCATTTCTAGTATACTCTTTCATGTTTAGATTTTATAGATCATAACCTTGAGTTGATTTTACTTCAGATTCCAACAACCAAAAACAAGAAGAGATCTAAAGAAGAGTTGGAGGAACGCCTTATATCATTGGTTGCTTCACTTTTTGGTAAGAAGGCAAGTGAACTTTGATCTTGTATGTTTATTTATACCTTTGAGTCACTGTTTTTCAAGATTTTAATTTTCTGTCATTTTTAAGTTAATCTCTGTGGTACAATTTAGTTCATGTGACAATATTACATATAACAATTCTTTTAATTGCTAATTAGTAGTGAATTCTTTTGTTCAAGACATGAATTATCAAAATCTTGGCCTTTGATTTGGATGATATATGCATTAACAGGTGGAGTTTTGAGGGGTTCAAGAAGGGAAAGATTACTCAGTAAATTTGTGGAAAATGAGTATGAAAAGATAGACAGGCTAATGGAGCTTTATATGAGGTATATAATTTTCTCCCATTTTTCTTTTACAAAAATACATTCTCTACATTTGAAAAGTATCTTCTTTCTTTTGATCATGTTTATACTCAAATCATTTGTTTTTTTTATTTTCTATAGATATTCAAACAGAGTGAAAGAAGAATCCGAAAGACTGAATGATCTTGAACTTGATGATCTTGAGGTTTATTTTTTATATATTGTTCTTTTTTCAATCTTTTAGCAATCATGGAACTAATACTTATTATTATTTTATAATCTTGCAGATGGATGAAGATGAAAAATACAATCGAAAGCTAGAATCTGGACTCTATTCTCTTCAGGTAATGATTTCTTTTATAATCTATACAATATTTCACTTTATAAAAATTAAAAGAGTAAATTACACGAATGGCCCCTATGGTTTGGGGTAATTTGCACGTTTGGTCCCTATCTTATTTTTTAACTCGGAAGGTCCCTACAGTTTGTTTTTGTTGCGCGCTTGGTCCCTGTATTACCTAAAAAGACTACTTTGTCCTTGATTTTTTAATTTATTTAAATAAGTTGGGGTAGGTAAGGTAAGGTAAGGTAAGGTGAGGTGGAAGTGGGGTTTAAATAAATTAAAAAATCAAGGGCAAAATAGTCTTTTTAGGTAAGACATGGACCAAGCGCGCAACAAAAACAAACAGTAGGGACCTTCCGAGTTAAAAAAATAAGTTCGGGATCAAACATGCAAATTACCCCAAACCATAGGGACCATTCATGTAATTTACTCAAATTAAAAATTAGAGATAATAAAATCTCATGCTAATCTCTTTTGTTTGTGGTTGCACATTACAGTTAATTGCAGTTATTTTGGGTCATCTTTGGACATCCGAGTAAGTATCTTCGATTATTATTATTATTTATTATTTTTTTTTTATAAAACATTTGTTGATTTTGACTATAATTAATATTTGTAGGCATCCTCGGATAAAGGCAAGAATTGAATTACTACTTAAGCAACAAAAGTTGACTAAAACAGACGTCAAGAATGTACTACAGGTAAATATATATACTTTTTACAAATTATTAGTAAAAAATAATTATGAATAGAAAAATTAGTTTTTAAATAATTGTTTGTTTAATGAAATAGGAATATCATGACAACATCGGTGATCTTGATGGCCCAGATGAGAAAGAGAAAGCACAAGCCAAAATCCAGAGATTCATCGCATCTTTGTGAACTATATAAGTTGTAATATGTTATGAGTTAACCCAACCTTTACTTAAATTCATGTATTTTGATTCCTTGTATTCTAACTTGTTTTTCATGTGTTTATTACAATCCATATTCCAAATGAGTTGAGTTGATATGTAGCTTCATTCCCAATGGAGTTGTAATATGTTTGAGTTGATATGATTAAGTTAGAAAAAGCCTTCGTATTCCTAGATGCTTAAACATGCCATTAAGAATATCAAAAGAAGAAAATATGAACTTGCTTTCAACATTTCGATAAAAAAGTATTTAATGTTGTAATTCTATGTAATAATTAGTTTGTGCTAATCCATTTAGATAGAAATCTTATTCCTATAGTAGATGTATTTGAATCGTGAAAGATCAAACAGTGTGGCTTAATCCAAGGTTAAAAGAGTCTCTTCGTTGGAGACGTTGCATATCTTGACATCGACTACTATGTTAACAGTGGTAGAGCTAGGATTTAAGAATAACGGAGTTGATAGCTTTACATCGTAATAATATATTCAAATATAATGTTATATCCGAAAAAAGTAATATAATTTAAAATTTTAAAAGAAAAGTTTGTCGAGATAGAAACTACATTGATATAATGATCAATCTTTAAAAGTTTTCAATTCACTCATATTCATCTTCTATTCCCTAGAAAAAAATTCGACGGTTTTTTTCTTGCTAATAATTTACCATATGATTATAATAAACTAAATTATCAAATATAATTAAATAATTAATTACAATATAATATATTATTAACTATAAGTAACATAAAATAAGATATATGATAAGAATCAAAATTTTCTTTCTTAATTAGAAAATTGAAATTGTGTTGATACTACAGTGTAGGTAGAAACAATTTCTTAATTGAAAATTAACTAAAAATAGCCACACTACTTTGGTGATTGGTGAATCGTCGATTAACAAAAAAATATTTATGAAGAAATGATATATAATCAACAGCAAATTAAAATAAGATAAATAGGACGAAGACGGTAAGATTTAAGTTAAAAGCTATTTATGAACAAATGAATATATAATCAATAGGTAATTAAAATAATAAAATAGTTTCTAGCCCAGTGGTATCCGGAGTTGCCCTCACTCTTTGAGGTTGAGGGTTCAAGTCCCGCAATGGATATATGTGGAATTTAGGGGGCAGAGCACCCGACAGTCCTCCTATTGTCTTCGCCTCTGTATGTTAATATTCTCATGGACGATGCGATAGTTTTGACGTATGAGTTTGGATTTATGATGTGAATATGTTTTTTTTTTTTTTTTTTTTCTGAGTAACTATAGTATTGTTGGTATCAAAAGGTTTTAAATGGTCCTGAGACACTATCAATGACTTCAAAATCTACAATGAATCACTAAATTACATCTTGGAAAACCATTTAAATACATTATATTTGTAATGTATTTAAATGGTATCCACAAGCTAGCTAAATCCAGAAAGAGAAGGAAAAGGGACTTAGGAAACATAAGGTATATTAAGGATGACAAAGTCCAAGTATTAGTGAATGATGTGAATATTAAGAGGAAATGAGGTAGTTGCTTTCATTCTTTATTTAATGAGTTGTTACACGGCCAACAGTGGAAGGGCCAAGACGTTCGGGAAGAGTATCCGTTGTTCCAGCATGGCAGCAAGATTATGTGATGGATAAAGTCTAGCGACTTTGGTTGCAGATCAGATTGGTTGGGATTTAAAGTAGTATTTAGTTTGTTTGGTTTTATTTGCAGATTAGCATTACTTTCGTATTAATAGGCTTTGTTTTAGGATTTGATAAACTTAATTTACAAATATTTAAGTGTGAATGAAATCACCAATCAACAGATTGGGTTTATCTATTCTTCTTCTCTTATGTTGCTGGAGTTAGTATTCACTCGAAGAACACAGGAGGGTACCTAGTTGATTGTATCAATTGGTGCTTTCATTGCCAATGGACGAAACCACCATCTGTCTGTTGCTGAAAGAACAAGCCGATTCTTTTACGCAGCAAATTAACCTCTTGACCTAGGAATTACAGAACACTCGCACCCTTGCATTGACAGGTAATCGCCATGGAGGTGAACGAGACGGGATCCCCCGATCTATGCGCCTTGACGTCCCCAAGTTTAGGGGTTCTGACCCGGAAAGTTGGATCTTTGCCATTAATGAGTATTTTACTCTTCATGCAACCACCAACGAACAACGCCTCCGCATCATCGACTTTAATTTAGAAGGCGACGCATCCGAGTGGTTCCGATGGATGACTCTTAACAACCTCATCACAACATGGGATGAATTCATCGAAAGTGTACGAAATCGCTTTGGACCGTCAAAGTATGAAGACCCACAAGGAGCGCTTTCCAAGCTCCTTCAAACCGAAACAGTAGCACACTATCAGGGAGAATTTGAAAAACTTATGAATCGAGTCACTGACGTTTCTGAAACCCTACTCATCTCGTTTTACATCTCGGGCCTGAAGCCTGCTATCCAACGAGAATTATTGATATCCAGACCATCTACTTTAGGTGATGCTTTCGCCTTAGCCCGAGTTACCGAGGCTCGTTTTAGCGATGCATGGGCCACTTCCACACCGGCTAAGCCCAGTGCGCCCTCTAACACAACTGGGGCCAAACAGCAGGTCTCACATGCACAATCCATTTCACTAAAAGGCGAACCGACCCGACAAGCATTGTTATCGTCCCCAACCTCAAAACCAATTGGAAGTACGCCTAAACCACTTCCGATTAAGTGGATTTCAGCTGCTGAAAGACACATACGTATGAACTTAGGGCTATGCTTCAATTGTGATAACAAGTGGGCAAAGGGGCATAAATGTCCTGGGAAATTTATGTTGATGATGTCGTCAGAAGAAGATCATTTGGATACGGGGCAGAAGGACACAACGACGGCTCCAGATGACTCAGTTGAGACCGGTGATGTTTCATGTTTAAACTCGTTTGTTGGACATGGTAGCCCTCGTTCCCTTCAATTGCGGGGCACGATTTCATCCACTGAGGTACATGTATTGATTGATAATGGCAGCACCCATAATTTTGTACAACCCTCATTGATTGAGCGACTGAAATTACCGATTACACCCACCAAACCATTTAAAGTGTACATTGGAAGTGGGGAAACGTTGCTTTGTGATCACGTGTGTGCCCAGGTCAATCTCAAGCTGCAAGGATTGATTGTTAATGTTGATTTATTTGTTCTCCCTATGCAAGGAGCTGAGGTGGTATTGGGAATCCAGTGGCTACAGAAATTGGGCAAAATGACCCACGATTATGCTCACCAGATTATGGAATTTTCGGTCAACAACAAGAAGCATGTGTTAACAGGTGATGATGCATTACAGTTTAAGAAAATTGGGTTTCATCAGATGCAAGCCTTGTTCGACACTGATGACATCTACGGTGTGTACGAGGTCCACAAACTACTACCTGACCAAGCAAAAGGCGAGTCCACTACCTCCGAGACAGCCACACCGATTCCCCCGGAAATCGAGGCACTTTTGGTGCGGTATCAATCACTCTTCACGGAACCGACTAGCCTACCACCGCATCGAGTAATTGATCACCGAATTCATTTATTTCCAAATACCAAGCCTGTTAATGTCCGTCCCTACCGCTACCCTCATTATCAAAAAGGGGAAATGGAGAAGTTAGTCAAGGAGATGTTAGACCAAGGCATTATTCGCTTTAGTCATAGCCCTTTTTCATCCCCAGTTTTGTTGGTTAAAAAAAAGATGGCAATTACCGTTTTTGTGTTGACTATCGGGCATTAAATGTTGTGACTGTTAAAGACAAGTTTCCCATACCTACAGCTGATGAGATGTTTGATGAATTGGGTGGAGCAACGGTGTTTACTAAACTCGATTTGCGAGCCGGATACCACCAGATCCGTGTTCATGACAGGGATATCTACAAAACAGCATTCCGAACACATGATGGACATTACGAGTTTCTCGTGATGCCATTTGGGCTTACAAACGCACCCTCCACCTTTCAAGCCACCATGAATCGTATTTTTTCTCCTTATTTGCGCAAGTTCGTTATAGTTTTTTTTGATGACATATTAGTTTATAGCTCAACTCTCACAGCTCATGTTGAGCACTTGCAGTGTGTGTTCAACTGTTTACAGGAATATCAATTTTATGTGAAAAGATCCAAATGTGTTTTTAGGGCCGTCTCGCTTGAGTATCTCGGGCATATTATTTCGGGTCAAGGAGTGGAAATGGACCCTAAGAAGGTGGAAGCTGTCACGGCATGGCCGGTTCCTAAAACTCAAAAACAGGTGCGAAGTTTTTTAGGACTCGCGGATTACTACCGACGTTTCATTCAAGGGTATGCATCCATAGCTGCTCCTTTGTCTGATTTGCTCCAAAAAGATGGTTTTCGATGGGGGGGGGGGGAACGTGAGCAAAAGGCTTTCGAAGACTTGAAACACCAGTTGTCTGTAGCACCAATCCTTAGCTTGCCAGATTTTGAGGAGGTTTTTGTTGTCGAGACTGATGCATCCAGTGATGGTATTGGAGCTGTCCTGTTACAAAAGAGCCGTCCTATTTGTTTTTTTAGTCGAAAATTGGGTGTGCGAATGAAGCGGGCAGCTACTTATCAACAAGAGTTGTATGCCATGTCGAAGCGGTATACAAGTGGCGACAATATTTGATTGGGCGCCGGTTCTTAATACGTACTGACCATAAGAGTATTAAGGAATTGATGCAGCAGGTAATCCAAACGCCGGTTCAACAACAATATGTCCGCAAATTAATGGGGTTCAATTTCGATATTGAATACAAACCAGGCGTCACTAACATTGTAACTGATGCTTTGTCTCGCATGCATAGCGAGGATGATCCTGAGACAACAACATTCATGTCCATTAGCCGACCTATTAGTGGGTTGTTGGAGAATCTTAAGGACGAACACCGTAGTCTTGAGGAGGTGTCGGTTTTGATTAGACGACTGCAACGCAGAGAAGTTATAGAGGGGTTTCGAGTTCAAGACGGGTTGCTCCTTTTTTAGGACCGTTACTATATTGGTCTCCAATCCAAACTTAAACTTACACTACTCAAGGAGTTCCATGAGACAAAGAGTGCTGGTCACTGTGGTACCAAGAAG